TGCTACCTCCTCTCCAGGCTCATTTTCGACAGCAGTGGAGGAGCTGGTGGCAGCGATCTCCTCCTCAACGACGCCCACTTCAGCCACAACCACTTCCTCAACAGCAGCAGCGGCGGCGGCCGTCGTCTCCTTCTCCTCCTCTTGATCATTATCATCGCCGTCGTTGGCCACCACCCCCTCCTGCTGCTGCTGCTGCTGCTGTTCTTCAGCGCCGACGCCGCTGTCCNTCCTTCTCCTCCTCTTGATCATTATCATCGCCGTCGTTGGCCACCACCCCCTCCTGCTGCTGCTGCTGCTGCTGTTCTTCAGCGCCGACGCCGCTGTCCTCATCGTTACCAGCGATGACGCCGCTGTCTTTCTCGTTACCAGCACCCCCACCGCCNCTCAACAGCAGCAGCGGCGGCGGCCGTCGTCTCCTTCTCCTCCTCTTGATCATTATCATCGCCGTCGTTGGCCACCACCCCCTCCTGCTGCTGCTGCTGCTGCTGTTCTTCAGCGCCGACGCCGCTGTCCTCATCGTTACCAGCGATGACGCCGCTGTCTTTCTCGTTACCAGCACCCCGACCGACGCCACCGCCCACTTCGACAATTTCCTCTTCGCCGTCCTCTTCTTTTCCTCCTGCACCTTCCTTGCCCTCAACTTTCTCAATCGATTGCTGCTGCTGCTGCTGCTGCTTCGGTTCCTNCTCATCGTTACCAGCGATGACGCCGCTGTCTTTCTCGTTACCAGCACCCCGACCGACGCCACCGCCCACTTCGACAATTTCCTCTTCGCCGTCCTCTTCTTTTCCTCCTGGACCTTCCTTGCCCTCAACTTTCTCAATCGATTGCTGCTGCTGCTGCTGCTGCTTCGGTTCCTGCAGCAGCTCCTTCTTCTGCTCGGTCTCCTGGCGGAGCAGCTGCATCTTCAGCACCGGGTGCTCCTTGCTCCAGTGGTGGTTGATCTGGTTGAGGAAGCCGGTGAGGGTGAGGCCGCAGCCGGGCGCCGAACAGGCGTACACTCCCGGCACGTGAAAGAGGTGGTAGTGCTTGCTGAGGGAGCTGTGGTCGGGGAGGACGGCCTCGCAGGCGCAGCACTGCAGCCGCCGGTGCTCTTTGGTCGTGTGCAGGAGGAACTTGAAGCTAAAAAAGAGAGAGAGAANGCGCAGCACTGCAGCCGCCGGTGCTCTTTCGTCGTGTGCAGGAGGAACTTGAAGCTAAAAGAGAGAGAGAGAGAGAGAGAAAAGAGAGGAGAATTTAGAAATCAAAGTCGAACAAGTCGAGAAGACTAACCAGGCGTCAAAGGACTGGCCACAGTCGCGGACGTGACAGACGTAGGCCTTGAGCTGGTGGACCGAGGCGAGGTGGCGGCGCATCGCCTTCTGACTCGCCAGATTGCCCACC